ACAGACGCACGGGGACAGACGCACCTCTAACAAATGAACTGAAGAGAGACTCACGTATTTGAGGTATTCCTCCATCACGCTCTCCACAGGAAGTGGACCCCGGCTGCTGAACACCGACGCGTTCCACATGGCGGCGCGGGCCAACATGACCGACGAAGCGCCCGTCGCCTTCCTGAACTCCTCGATGTCGGCGTTGGTCTTCACCAGATCCAGAGAGCCCCCGCTGCCGGAGGGACGCACACTGATTAACCAACTGCTGAAACTGCTTCAGGTAAATAATCTCACTGCCGGTTTTTAAATATCAAACATGAGAAAACCAGAACAAACACGTCTGTAAGCTTTAACTGTCACTGTCCTTGGTTACGTTACATTTAAGGAGACGGGTGAAGCAGCTGAAGATAGAGAGAATAAAAGGTGAAGGACTGATGGAGGAACTGCAGTTCACCGGAGACGAGGAGGGGACGACTTACTTGGCGATGACGGGGATGGAAACGGCCCGAGCGACGGCCCGGATGTAGTCGCAGTGGACGGGGTGTCTGGGACGCTCGTCCTTCAACCTGAACGACACGGAAAGGTTGCAAGTGAACACATCGCGTTGCATTAATGAAACAGGCTGACAGTCGGGAAAAAACACAAGAAGATAAAAATCCTCCTAACGAGAGCACAACAGACCGATTCCAGGGTAAAAAAAAACAACTGATCTGTTTTATTTATTTTTTCTTTCTATCGGTAGAAATAATGTGTCCAGTAATTTCCAGCTTTGTGTTTAACTCTGAAAAAGCCCATTAAAATAAAAAAAGACATTATAACACTGATGTAAAAAGCATGAGAGCATGACGAGCAACCAAAAAAGTTCATTACATACAACACAGAAAAGACTTTAAAGGATTTAAGTCATTTAAAGAAATGAAATAATACTTAAAAAATGTGAAATGTGGAGATGAGAAAAAACACACATATGGACACAGAAATATAAAGTACAAATTAATGAACTGAATAGTGAACTCAAGTTACGACAACTTCCTCCTTCATGGCGATGCATCAAAATTCGACACCACGCCACGGGCACGCCGTCCGATGAAAACTCCAGCTTTTGAAAACCTTTCACGGTGAACGTGTTAAAGTCGCACTCAGAAAATCTGAAGTCGATCCGACCAATCGTCTACGAGGAGTTCGTTAAAGTATACGGCGTGTAAATCGCCCAAAATGACCCGTTTTTGTAACATCATTGATTTCATACTAATAATCGGTGACTTGCCGTCTATTAGCTCCTGGTTGAAGGATGTCGGCGTGTTACAGACGCAGCTTACCTGCCGTGAACAGCGACCGCAGCGACGCCGGTCTTCTCGATCCTCCGGACCAGACCGATCGTCTCCTCCAACTGAAACCAGCGTCAGTGATCAATACTCCCGTTATTAAAGCATCAATCAATCAATCATACCGTCAGACAACCTGATCGGAATCAATCTGCCTCCGATGTAACGACGACAACACTCACCGAAGGCAGGATTCGGATTTTACACGTCACCGGTATGGAAACTCCTGTGACCAGCTTCTTGAGGATCTACGGGTCAAAGTGGTTTCACATAATCAATAATCAATAATCAATAATCAGCTGTTTTTGTTAATAATATCTGACAGGTTGAACTTCAGGTTATTTTCTTCACGCCGTCGTTCGGCTGAAATACTCACCGCCTCGATCTTGTCGGGGTCCGACAGAAGAGCAGCTCCCATCCCGCCCTGCAAGAGGTCAGACAGGGGTCAGACAGAGGTCAGACAGAGGTCAGACAGGGGTCAGACAGGGGTCAAAGGTCAGAGCAGCAGCAGGTTGGGTTACTGCAGGAAACTCACCTTAGTGGAGTATTCTTTAGGACAGCCCATATTCACATCCACAGCCGCCACGTCTTTCTCCCTGTGGACACATGAACTCGTCTTTAACAGAACAACAACGACGACGCATCGTCCAAATAAAATACGGGAACATTACAGATAGTAACGTTATTCTAAATATGATCGTCAGTTTTACAGCGTTCAGTGTTTGTCTCTGCTGACTGCAGTTTACTGAACGACCACTGGTGGCGCTGTTAGCTGCAGTCCAATAACGAGGTCTGTTTTTACTGTGTTCAACATGTTGAAGTGGATTAAAGGAGAGCTGTGGACTCACACGAGCCGGGCCACCGTCAGCGCTCTGTCTGGATCAGCTGTTCCCTAAAACAGAGAGGAGGAGGAGGAAGGTCAGAGGTCAGAGGTCGGCCCACTGGCAGACTGCTGCAGATGTTTTCTGTCTCACCATCTGGAAGACGACTCTGTCCTTCTCCCTCTCGCAGGTCCTGAACATCACTCGATCATCCGGAGCGACAAAATCCACCGTCTCCAGCACCTCTGATCAACAAACAACAAACACACAAACAATAAATAAACA